CTAACACCAACGGCAACATTGAAGCTCAGGTACAGTAAACCATTTACCACCGAAGACACACTGCCTGGCTGACTTTGAGGCTGACAGCAAGGTGGGTCGTTCTAATCCGGTGAGCTCAACTCTCAATTGTCGGGCAGTCGGGGGAGGGAGGCAGCAATGCTAACAGTCTGAACCGGGGTAGACCAGGTGAAGGAGAGAGACAGACTACCCTCAGTCCTTTTTTCTCACCCCCCGCCCCCCCTGGTTCTCATTGATGGCATTTCAAAGGCCTGGTGCAATGTCACCTTGGGGTGTAGAGGGCAGCCTCCCCTCCACCCTTCAGCAGTGACACTTTATCCTTGAGTTCTGCCCCTGCCCTACCCTGTGGGAGGAAGCCCAGGCCATTTCCACAGGAAGTGCTCTGTAGAGCAACAGGAACGGCAGACGTGTCTTCCAGGAAGCCCCCCTGGGTTGCTTGTGTGGCTGTCCCTGTATAGGAACCTACCCCCATCCCCAGGGGTTGTCCCTTCAGCCAGCAGGGGCACCCAGACAGCGGCTGGGACAGAGGTCAGGGGGCATGTCACACAGAACCGAGATGAGCCTCACTCTCACATAGAACAGGCCCTGGCAAAGGTGCGCAGACACTGACTCAGTGAATCTGCACATCAGCTCCACACAGGGTGTCATTTCTGCTTGCAGACCTTCCACCCAAATCCAGTGCCAATGCCTCCTCTTCTGGGAAGTCTTTTGCCTGTGTGACATCCTGGTGGGACTGATGTTCTTGCAATGACCAGGGGAGGGGGGTGGCTTGGGTCTTGGATGCTGGGCTCTGGTTGCTTTATGTCCCCCACATATACCGTGGGGACACCCCCACCAGGCCCTCTGTGACATGCCTCCTGACCTCTGTCCCAGCCTCTGTCTGGGTGCCCCTCCTGGCTGAGGGTATATCCCCTGGGGAAGACAGTGGGCAGACTGATAAGCCAGAGGCATTAGAGAGCCAGAGTGGTCCATCCGTTATGGGTGCCATCAAAAGGCACATCTCTGTGTTAAAGGAGGGCACAGACACGTTCACCTCAGAGACGGAAGGCTGGGGCTGTGCACGGGGTGCCAGATGCTGCAGCCCAGGTGAGGGTGAGCCTGTGCTGAGGGGCACCCCTTCCTCAGAGGAAGCCTGTTTCCAGTCCGAGATCCGCGGGTGCTTCCGGAAGGGGGTCCAGCCCCAAGTCCTGCCAGCGGCTCATGGTCCTTCATGTTTATGTGTGGCCCCAGATGAGCATTCAAGGCATGGGGACTTAGCTACAAAGCCAGAGGGGCTCTCGCAGGCTCCATGCAGGTGACCCTTTTAATTGGCGAGAAAGCAGTGGGGAGCAGGCCCCCCTGAAGGCGCTAGCTCTGTGAGGGCCAGCAGGAGCCCTTGCCTGGGCTGCAGCATCTGGCACCCTGTGCACAACACCACCCTGCTGTCGCTGGGGTGAACGTGTCTGTGCCCTTCTTTAACACACAGATGTGCCTTTTGATGGCTCCCAGAACAGATGGACCACCTACACCCACCCACGCAGGGGTGGTAGCTCAGGTGCCGGGGAGAGGGGGTGAGGAGAGGAAGCTGAACCAGGGCAGATGGGGCTGGGAGGCACCCTGAGAAGCACCAGGCCCTGAACGAGTGTGGTCTGGGATATACTCTTGCAGGCCAGGCGTGGTTGAGGCTGCTGGCCTGCTCCAGCCCCTCCTCCAGCCAGCAGTGAGTACTCAATTGCTCAGCCAACGTCTTCAAGGTCCAGGGAGGAAGGGAGGAGATGGGACTAAGGAAGCCTCAACACTGTGGGGGGAGGAGGAGCAGAGTGGCCTGATCCCCATCC